TTAATTTTACTCATTTTTTTATTTTTAAAAAATAATTTTAAATTTTTTTTAATAAAAATTTAAATTTATTACCTATTAAAAACTCTTCTAAACTAACTTAAACATGCTCTTAACTTGAAAATACTTTAATTAATTTTGAGTGCTAAGGATTTCGATTTTGTCCAGACTACAGTCCCATTAAATTACCCCATTTAAAAAGCCTACCATAGCTTCACAGCTACACTTCACACCCTGTGTTGCATAGTAGAAGCAGGAAAAGATACCTGCAACGGTTATGAGGAAAGGAAACTCGGAGCTCAGGGAAAAGAAAAGATTTTTCTGGGTTTTCTCTGTTTCCCCTATATAAAGACAGCTATGCTCCACAGTTCACACATAATTTCCTAGCTTCCTTTTCTTTCTTAGGTGCTCTATTTCAGGTCAGAACTTGTTTTCAAGAAAAACGAAAAACATTACTCTGTTTTTTTCTTTCTCTTCACCAGGCAGAGCAGATTTTCTTACCTTTTCTAGCTTCTCTGGTCTGGGGTAGTTGGGGGATTTTTTTTTTTGGTTTTTGTCAGTGCATAATTTAATTTTTTTTGGATAAAAGCTGGCATTAGGGACATTTGGTAGGTTTTTCTGTACGACAAATATGGCACTGTCAATCGTAGAATTTTAGAATTAAAAATATTTAGGCAGCTGAAATTTTAATCCTTCAGGCTCCAGCACAGAAGAAGCTGTAACAGTCTCTCAAAAACTGGTGCCAATTCTCTGGTTCCTTGCTCTTAAAGGTAAAACGAGACAAGCACTTCTCTTTACTCTTTCATTTATTTAAATGCAGTTAAAGAAGCAAACTGGTTCCTGAGTAGCCAACCATTAGTCAAGAAAGTGTCTCTGTTTTGATTTCTTTGCTTCATTAGAATCCCCGCCAGTAGGCCTCTTTGGACAAGGTTAACATAGGTTAAGAGTTTCGGTTCTTGTCCAAAGTTCAGTTGGGTTTGGGGTTTTGTGTGGTTTTAGTTCATGAGTTTGGTTTAACTTTGGGTTGTTTTGGATCTGTACAGGAGTGAAGCAATGAGTCAAGGAGAGGAAGAAATGGTTTCCAGCTTTAATAGGGTTAGTCTTTTTTAATAAAATAGAAATGTAATGATTTATTCATAAAATTTTATATTGAAATATTACTTAAATAGCATCTGACTTT